GAGCCTCTGGGACAGCTTCAAGTGTTTCAACATTTGAATCATGGGGGTTGCCAGAAGAAGAGAGAAGGTAAGAAATTGGAAACCTACTTGAAAAAATAATAACACATAACCTCTCTAACTTGTTGATGGAAATAGACATGCAAGTCCCAGAAACAGAGTCCCAAAGAAGGTGAACTGAAAGAGGCCCACCTCAAGACACATCATGATTAAAATGCCAAAGGTTACAGATAAAAAGAGGATCTCCCCCCCCATTTTTATTTTATTTTATTTTTAAATTTTATTCATTTTCAGAGGGTAAGAGAAGAAGAAAGAGAGGGAAAGAAATATCAATGTGTGGTTGCCTCTTGTGTACCCTGTACTAGGGACCTGGCCTGCCACCCAGGCATGTGCCCTGACTGAGAATTAAACCCCGATCCTCTGGTTCGCAGGCCCGTGCTCAATCCACTGAGCTACACCAGCCAGGCCAAAAGAGGATCTTAAAAGTAGCAAGAGGAAAGCGGTTAGTTGCTTATAAGGGAACCCCCATAAAATGGCCAGCTGATTTCTTAAAAGAAATGTTGCAAGCTAGAAGGGACTGACAAATATTCAAAGTGATGAGAAGCAAGGACTTACAACCAAGATTATGCTACCCAGCAAAGCTATTGTTTAGAAATGAAGATAAAGAGCTTCCCAGACAGGAAAAAGCTAAAGGAGTACATTACCACCAAACCAGCAGTATATGAAATGTTAAAGGGTCGTCTTTAAGGAGAAAATGAAAAATAAAGCCCTGGCTGGTGTGGCTCAGTGGACTGAATGCTGGCCTGCAAACCAAAGGGTCACAGATTCGAGTCCCAGTCAAGGGCATATGCCTGTGCTGTGGGCCAGGTCCCCAGTAGTGGGGCATGTGAGAAGCAACCATACATTGATGTTTCTCTCCCTCTCTTTCTCCTACCCTTCCCCTCTAAAAACATAAAATCTTAAAAAAAAAAAAAAACGAACAATAAAATGGCAACAAATACATATCTATCAACAGTTGAATCTAAAAAACAAGATGAACTAACAAGCAGAACAGAAACAGATACAGAGAACATTTTAATGGTTGCCAGATAGGAGCGGGGTTGGGGAAATGGACAAAAAAGGTGAAGGGACCAAGAAGTACAAATTGGCAGTTAAGGTATAGTCATGGGGATGTAAAGTACAGCGTAGGAATTATCAGCACCACGCTCTAACCAACTGGGCTAACCGGCCAGGATGATACAGCATAGGAATTAGAGTAACCAAAGAACACATGCATGAAATATGGGCATGGATAGTGGTGTGGGGATCGCCTGAGGAAGCTGAGGGTGTGGAGGGGGCAAAGGGGGAAAATTTGGACAATTTAACAGCTTAATCAAATACAATAAAAAAAAAAGTCCAAACAACTTTGCTGATTGTGGTTGGTTTTGTGTGGGTTTTTGTTTTTGCTTTTTTGGTTTTTTAATCTTTTAAAGCCTCTGGCTCTCAATCTTACTAACAAAGACATCCCCTAAGAGTTAGTATTTTGCTTCTGAAAAGCCTGTTTCTCTCTTTGTGCTCTATGTAGAAATAATTGACAAAATTTATGTAGTAGTGTTGGTAGTTCGTTGAGTTGGGTGGGTCTCTGGGATTGCTTCTCCGTGACCTGTTCAGGCACAATTCCAGTTGTGTGAGGAATGCATATCCGGCCAACCTCTAATGTCTCCAAATTATATGTGTGCTTCAAACACTGAAGTCAGTCACACACTGCCTCTTAAATTGTCATCTGGCGGATGATGTCATCTCTTCTCCAAAGGAAATACTTCTGCTCTGAAAGTGCAGGGAGAGGCTCTGGTATTAAGGCCAACTGTTTTGTTCCACACTCTGGGGAGAAAACCTTTTTTGGAGCTATTTACTGTATGAAAATATTTCGTTTGAGTGATCTCTATTAAGACCACCTCATAGTTTGCCTTTTCACACTTTTCAGAATCATGTTGATGGTTTTTCTTCTCCTGTACATTTTCTCCCTTTCTCTCAATGGTAAATCTTAGTCTCCAGGGGTTTAGTAGTAGCAAGCAAATTTATGGAGAGTCACAGTGGTATTTTGACTAGTGACTAGAAACCAGGCCCTCCAGCACCTTTTTCACCACAAACACAATTTAGAATTAGGCCAACGGCCAAAATGGGGTGCTTCCTTAAATCTAGTCCAGGGTTACTCAGAAAAATTTTCTTACACCATGTGATGATTCAGCTTTGTGTTTTAGCAAGAATTGATTGAATTGTTTCCACATAGGCACTTGACTGGTTCAGCTGTTTTGAAATTATTTTGCTAACGTTAAAGATTTCTCATTTATTTTCATAATGTAGAGGCTGGATCTTGTATATTTTTCTAGTCTTGTCATCCAGGAAATAGGCTAAAGTTAGGTGTTCCTATGTTACAGGAGAATATTAATATTCTGAAGGATATAAAAAATAAACCCCAGAGAGAACCTCTTATATATGCTGATAACAGGTTTGTCTCAGGTTTGAATAGGTATCTCAAAGTATTGGGTTGGCCAAAAAATTTGTGTGTTTTTTTGTGCAAAATAAAAGACATATTTTTCATTTTCACTGATAACTATTGATATATGTATTTTTAAAAATATTTTTATTTACTTTTAGAGAGAGGGGAAGCAAGGGAGAAAGAGGGAGAGAAACATCAGTGTGTGAAAGATACAGTGATTAATTGTCTCTCACATGCCCATGACTGGGGACCCGGTCTGCAACCCAGGCATGCACACCAAGACCAGAAATTAAACCAGTGACCCTTTGGTTTGCAGGCTGGCTCTCAATCCACTGAGCCACACCAGCCAGGGCCGATTTGTGTATTTTGACTATGTCTGCTATCTCCTGTGTGATACAATGTTGATTGTTTTCAATGTCCAGTTTTGGTCACTGTCAACCCCAACTGGTCTACTGTGCTGGTCTGCCCATCCACAGAGCATTGTCCAGCAAGAAATCTCCAGCACAAAACTCCACAAACCATTTTCTATACGTTCAATCCGTCACAGCACCTTCACACACTGCACAAATCTTTTTCTGGGTTTCTGTTGCATTTTTACCTTTCTCGAAATAATAAAGCATAATATGCCAAAAAAGTTGCATATTTTCTTGCATCTTCAATGTTAAAATGGCTACACAAAAATTCACCACTTAGATTGATAAGTTCTTCTTTTAATGCATGCTAATATGATAGCTGTCACAGTACAACCTAACAATTGTTTTGAAGTTAAAGATAGCTAAATGCTACCAGAGCCATCTACAAAAGACAAACAAACATGCTCTGGCTGGCTGGTGTGGCTCAGTGGATTGAGCACCAGTCTGGGCTAGGTCCCTTGTGAGGGCCATGTGAATAGAAACCACACAGTGATGTTTCTCTCCCTCTTTTTCTCCCTCCCTTCCCCTCTGTCTGAAAATTAATCAATCAGGTTGTTTTTTTTTCTAAGATTTTATTTATCTTTAGAAGGGAAGGGAAGGAAAGAGGGAGAGAAATATCAGTGTACGGTTGCTTTTCTTGCGTCCCCTGCTGGGAACTGGCCTGCAACCCAGGCATGTGCCCTGACTGGGAATCGAACAGCGGTGGTATGGTTTGCAGGCCCATGCTCACCATCCACTGAGCTACACCAGCCAGGGCCAATCAATCAGTTTTTTAAAAAATACTTTATAAAACAAATTTCTGGCCAACCCAGTAATATGTGGTAGAGAAACAGTGAGTGTATGGGAGTCATGCTTATTTGTAGCTTGGGATTGTTAGCAGCATTTGGGGCATTTTCTTTTTATATTTTCCTTCTAGTGTATCTCTGCATAAGCATAATATACTTGTAGTGAGCTTGAGTTAAAGTGTGGGGTGTGGAATGATGTTAGTCTGAACGTCTGGGACTGTTGAGTGGTAGTTTAACAGGAAAAATGGGTTATAAAGTAATTGTTCAATTATCTGTGTAATTATTTGTTACAGAAAATTTATGTAGATAAGGAAAAATAGAAGTGAGGAAATTAACCTAACCCCCTATCCATGGTGGTCATATTTTAACATTTTGGTATAGGATCTTCTGCACCTTTTCTATGTGTATAAATACAGTGAATTTATAAGTAATTTTCAAAAATATGGTACTATATACTTTTTTTGCCCTTTCCAACAACTTACTGTGACATTCTAGCCGTAAATAAATATACCTAAAAACAGTGGTTATATGCTCTTCCAGGGCGTCCAACCCGCAGGCCACATGCGGCCCAGGATGGCTATGATGTGGCCCAACATGATATCGTAAATTTACTTAAAACATTATGAGATTTTTTTGTGTGTGATTATGTGTTTTTGTGTATTTAATGTATGGTCCAAGACAACTCCTGTTCTTATGTGGCCCAGAGACCCCAAAAGGTGGGATATCCCTGAATTCCATTTTATTATTACACCACGGTTTAGGTCAGCAATTACCTACTGTTCATTTAGATTCTTTTCCAATTATGTTATCTCTTCAGTTATAGTTATTATGTACAGTGTTGCATTAGATATCTTTGTATACACATTTTTGTCTACTTGACTGTTTCCTTAGGATAAATTCCCATGTTCAGGTTAATTCGAACATTTTAGTTTTTAAGGCTTTTTGTTATGTATTGCCAAATGACCCTTTAACAGTGGAGGGAAGAGCCTCAAGTACAACATACACATATTCTTTCTTAAAAGATTAGAAGCCTGCATGCAAAGGAGTTTTAATACTTAGAATATTTTTGCCAATTTGAAATCACTCCATAGAGAAATGATTTGGGTTGCAAGTGTTGTAACCACTCTTGTAATTTTTCTGCCAGAACTTCTCTTGCTTTTTACTGACTGCAAAAAATCATCTCACACTTCAATGTGGTGTTGGGGATCAGACCAGGTCATGTTCATAATTTTAAGCTTTATAGTTTTTTTAAAGATATGCTTATTCTACTGTAAGTAAATACAATCCCAGAATTAAGTGATAACTTTTCTGTTTTTCCTCATTTAGGTTTCAACTTTCTGTGCTGTGGGGTCAAGAGTCAGAGAGGTAGATCTGATGCGAATCTGTACTGAAGAAGCATGAGCTTGCAGTAACTAGCAGCCAACTCCTCTTCTCCATAACAATCGCAGATTTTTTGTAGTAGTAGTAGTAGTGCGTGGTCTTCTTCCAAGAAGGCCGTGGATCTCTTATAAATAAACATAATTTACTTAAGCTCCCATTTCCCTTTGCCCTCTCCAAAAAAGATGCTATCTTAACATAAAAGTATCTCTCAGTTTCATGGTTAATTAGTCAACTCTCTGTTTTTGTCTTCCCATGACTTCATTTTCTTTTGTTTAAGTAAATGAGCCTCAGTTCTTTTCCCTCTCTGCTTTACCTCTTATTTCCCCTGACTCTTCCTATTTTATAGATGGAGTTTCATAATTCACAACGATAATTGCTTATACTTATAGAGTATATATTATATGTTAAGTGCCATATGTGACATTTAATTTTCCTAACAGTCCTATGAGATGCATGTTACTATTTCTCCACTTTATAGATAAAGTAACCAAGGTCTTGAGAGTTTTAATAAAACTTGTTGGAGGTTATGCAGTGAGTAAATGGTAGATCTCATATTCAAACCTAACAAACGTAGGTGTTCTGATTTCAGAGCTCACATTCCTACCCACTATGCCATTATTGCTCCCTTGCTTATCTGAAAGTCTGTGTGCGAACTAACTTGACTTTAAACCAAATTAAGTATTTATTGTTGAATGGGTACTGACTGAACCAGTAGTCCTCAGTGAAGGAGAGAATAATATAGAAGGGAATGTAACTATTCTGACTTTAGCTCTTCTTTAAAAAGCAACAAAATTCTGACCTCCATTTGCCATAATATGTGGAGTTACTGATCATTCTTTCAGAAAATATTTTACAAGTTAATGTGGATTTATGCCAAGAATCGGTAACTGATTCCCAAGTAAATTCCAAGATCCCTGAAACTAAACAAACCAAAGTTTGCCTAGCAAATGCCCTCTTTTTGTCATTGCACATTCAGTAATTCTAAGCCTTATGCTTTTAATAAGAGCAAGTCATGGTTCTTCATACACCAAAGGAAAACTAATCTGAGATGAAAGGTCTTTTCCCCCACCTCTTGTAAAAGTGGCTGAGTTCCTACCACTAAGACAAAATGATACTTTCTACTACTAGCGAGGAGCATAATATCTGTGAAACTGAAACTGCTCTTTCAAATATCAGAACCTGAAAGTCAGTTTCTGCTCCTCTAGAATACTGACATCATGTGGTACAGAACAAGGATAATCTCAACTAAAAAAGTGAGATCTATTTTTCCAGTGATATTAATGACTGTTGTCAGAGGAACAGTGTTATTACTGTTATTGTTATTATAACTAACTTGAGAGGAATTGAAGGAGGAGGACTCTGCTCTTAATCTTCTACCAGTGAATAAAAAAAAGTAGATTTCTTTGTCCCAAGGGAAGGGGGCATAGTCAAGGGAAGAAAATAGGCATTCATATTGTCCATTAGCAGTTCTGAGATTGATTTAATTTGTTAGAGCATTCTAGTTCCCTTGGTGCTTTCTTGTCCTTCCTAGACACTAGTTCACCAGGAAATGAAAACAAAAGATTTGAAAGAAAGAGATTTGAATTGGGTGTGAGGAATGTGGATACCGATTCTGGCTCTGTCACTAGCTTTGCTCTCTGATTTTGAGCACATCCTTTTTTTCTGTGCTTTTATCTATAAAAAAACAGGATTAGACTAAAAATCACAAAGGCCCTTTCTGAATTTCTTGATAATTTCTGTTTTTTCTTCATAGTACACATAGTTGTTGAAAATGGGCCAGTAGCTTCACTTGTGGTTGAAAGAGCTAAATTCTCAACTTGTTCTATATAAAAATCAACTTTCTCGAACCAACTGTAGATTTCAGCCAGACTGAGCATCTCCAAGCCAGAATAGAAAAAAAATTCTCAAAGTGAGTACACCCTTGCTTCTCTGGGTCTTTTACATTTTCTTCTTTCTGCAGAGGAACTAGGGCTCCAAATTACCTTGGTTGGTATAAGTTACTGGAACCATTGTTTTTTCTGATGCAGCCTGTTTGTCAAGGCTTTATTTTTTGCTTCCAGTAGAGCAGTACTGGTTAGTTGTTTACAGTGCTTCTTGGTTCAGGGCCTGTTAATAAGGAGGAGTCCCACAGACATGAAGGAAATAAACTATGGACATGAATTAGGAAATTGTGTAATATAAAAAAAACCAATTTCTCTATTACAACTTCATCCTGGATGCCTTACTTTTACTAAGAAAACCTTTCAGAAAGAAGCCAGCTCAGATAAAGAAGCTTGATTATCTAGACTTGCTTTCTTTTATTTGGTGGTAAATTATAAAAATGTTCAGACATATACAAAATATAAAAAATAGTGTAATGAACCTCCATTATCATCAGCTAGCATCAGCAGCAATATTTTGCCAATCTTGTATCTATTATTCTTCATTCCCCCACCTTCACTCCCTGGAATATTCTAAAGCAAACCTAGTCTTCATGTGATTTCACCCATAAATACTGCAGAAAGTATTTCTACAGATGAGGACTCTATTTAGAGGGGAGAAGGAGTTGTAACATTACCACAGCACATTTGTCACATCTACAAAATTAACAAAGGTTATTTAATTTCTTCTCTCAAGGTTTCTGTCTCAGAAATGTTTTTAGCTTATTTTCTTTTATTTTTTAAAAAATTTAAAAGACCTTTTACATTTATTTTTAGAGAGGGGGAAGGGAGGGAGAAAGAGAGGAAAAGAAACATCAATGTATGGTTGCCTCTCATGCCCCCTTCTGGGGTCCTGGCCTGCACTCTAGATATGAGCCCTCACAGCCCAGCACTCAGTCCACTGAGCCACACCAGCCAGGGCAATTTTTAGCTTATTTTCTAATCAGCATCTAAACAAGTGTCAGATATACAGTATGTGGTGGATATGTCTCTTAAGTCATTAGTTAAAACAATTCCCATGCCCTATAGTATTGTTTTGAGGGCCACATGAGATATTCGTAAGCTTTTAACATGCTGTAAAAATATACATTGTTTGGTCAGTGGAGAGAAATAGCCTTTCTAAAAAAGTATCAGCATTTCAGTTTAGTCTTATAGTCAGGATTAAAGTGAAATAGGAAAATGTGGAGATGCCCAAGTGATGGAGAAAAAAGAGATATTGTGAGCTCCTCTTGGTCAGGAATATATAACTCGTCCAAGAGTACCTAGCATAATTCCTGACATGTAACAGAAAATCAGTAAATAGTCATTGAATAAGCGATTGGAGGGGAACTGAATAATTCTGCATTGAACTGGTGCTGAGATGCGTTAAAATTGAGCCAGTGAGGAGAAGCTGGTTAGGACCTTCTCTGTAGCATTTGTAGTTAAGCTGACAGCCTCTATAACCTATTGTTGAGTAATGCACTCTCCTTTCTTGTAGCACATGCCACATTTCCTAGTGTGATCTAAAGATAATATAGGCATATTGATAATAATTCTTCAGAGTTTTGACTTAGAAGGTGAGAGGAAGCTTCCCAAAGTCCTTGGGAAAAAGCATTTTTGTTTGTTTTTTCTGGAAAAAAAAAAGTAAATGTTAATGTTGGAACTCTACTCCTCACTCAGTTTTCCTACCCCAAAAAAGGATGATATATGTGGATCATGGATATGGATTATAAAATGATAGTATATACTTTTAAAGACTTTATTTACTTACTTTTAGAGAGAGGGGAAGGGGGAGAGGAAGAGAGAAACTTCAATGTGTGGTTGCCTCTCACACCCCCCCAGCTGGGTGCCTGGCCTGCACCCCAGGCATGAGCCCTCACTGGGAATCCACCCAGTGACCTTTTGGTTCAAAGGCTGGCACTTAATCCACTGAGCCATGCCAGCCAAGGCTTTTCTTTTTTTAAAAATACTCACCTGAGGACATGCTTATTGATTTTAGAGAGAAGACAAGGGAGGGCGAGAGAGGAGGAGAGAAACATATGTGAGACAGAAACATTGATCCATTGTTGGTTCTCGTATGTGCCCTTATCAGGGCTGAACCTGCAACCAAGACATGTCCCCTAATGGGGAATCAAACTCAAGACCTCAGTTTCCTGAACTGTGCTCCAACCGAGTTAAACTGGCCTTGATGCTGATTAGAGTTTAATGAAGTTCTAGGTAATTGAACATTAAACTTTGCTGTGGACTCAACTTTGTTCTTGCATTAGAAATCAAATATTACAACATTTGTGTAGCACTTTATGGTCCATAAAGTACTTTGAATTTAGCTTATCTAATCATATAGCCTAATATAGGTTTCTTTTCTCTTAAATATAGAAAACAGTTTGCCTGATACACAATAACAGGGATTTGAACCTAGGGCTTCTGATTTTTAAATAGCTCAGCATGTTAACTTGTTCTTGTCTAAAAGGTTGTAAGATATAAAAGGATCAACTATTTGTTTTTGTTGGTTGACTCCTTAAATTTTGCAGTAAGTCAGTAATCAGTAATCTCAGTCATTCAGCTTTAGCTCAGGGTTCCCGTCCTCATTTGCCTAGTCTTCCACCCAGCTGAAGTCAACTTTATTGAAGATGAAGCATCCTACCAAAGGTGTAGATTATTGGGCTCTGCTGTTTTTCCAGTTTTCTGGCTTATTTTATGCAGCATGTCTTCCTAAAAGCTAGGTAATGATTCCCTTTCCTTCTTTTTGGGAGGAAAAATGAAAACCATCTTGTTCCCAATTTTTTGCCACCCTGACTCACCATGAGGAAGGAAATTTTGATGTTCTGCTTATGGGTACCAGAATTGCTTGGTCTGTGGCCTTTGTACTACTAAGTGCTATTTCAGCCTCTCATCCAAGCCCAGCTATATTCTGAAATTCTCAGGGCGCTTGACCATTTGTCTTTAACAGTTACAATTGGGCTTTACCGGATTGCCCTTAATCCCATACGTGTTGTTGCCCCTCACCATTAATCCTTAAAAATGGACTGGGGTTTTCCTACTTTGGTACTGACTTATGTTATTGCGTATTCATCCCATTTGGACTCTTAAACTTTTTAATTTTCTTTAATATATCTAATCTTTATTCCTTTCAAATTCTTTAGAGCTAGATTGAAGTGATATATCAGTAGCCTTTGAAGATAAAGGCCAACATTCTCTAGTATGAAAAGGGAAGGAAGGTCATTTTCCTGAGTGATCATGTGTCTCTGATGTGATCATGGATGAAGGTTACGGGGATGGTAAACCCTTAAGAATTGACTTAACCTTTCAGAGTAGATTTTTTTCTATAGATAAAGTCTTTTAGTCACTTTCTAAACATCACTATTCTTGAAATGTTTCCTGAATTTAAATGGATAAAAGTCATATATAATGAGATTTAACTAAACACTTACCTTTGCATAGCTGCCCTGATTAAATATTTAGTGAGTCAGACTTACTTTAGTAAGTAAAAGTAAATGCCAGCAATTCCTGTTGAGTTTGCAGCAGAAATCAAGATGAGGCTGCAGGGATGCAGAATCAGCTTCCGCTTGCACTGAATGCTTTTTCCTTATTTTGACATTGCATTTTTCTCATCCTTAGCTTCTTTTTTTATCTCCTGATCAACTCTTTACCATTTTTTTCTAATATTATTAATGGAGGGTTGAAACACCATAGATATGCTCTAAAATTTCTTACCCTTTTAGTTCTACAGGAAAATTTTTAACCAAGCCCCAAACTTTCCAGTTAGTGTTGGGTGTTTTTCTTATGCCCTTTCTCTTTCAGCCATTGTATCAGAGACCTTCTGGCTCTGATGGGTAAATATATCAAGAACAGATCTATTTCCCAGAAAAAATATGAATACTGGAGTAAGAAAAGGGACTAGAACAAAAGGGAATGTGCTTACGGATACTGTGAGTACGAGGGAGGAAGGGGAAAGGACATTTAAAATCTCTATCTGAAAGATATCACAGAGCAAGAGGCTCGGTTTGACTCACTGCTTGATTGTTTCAGTGTGCAGGATAAAGATGTTTGAGTGTGTGTATACACACTTAGGATTGTGTTTTTGTTTCTTAACAGCATGTGGAGCCAAGAGAACCATGGCATCTGAGGTAAGTTTGTTATTGATATAGTGGTTCTAAAACTTTAATTCTGGAATAGAAGGAAACCTATTTACATCTTTATTTTCCTCCCACTTGAGTCTTGGGAGCTAGACAGGGTTCTTATAGTAAGCTAGAAATTATACAACTCTACTATTATTGCAGTTTATTATGGGTATTACTATAGTACATTTTTAACGTACCAGATGCAAGAGTAAGTAATGTTCCTGAGTGTCCTGCATAGGTATTCTTAGTTAATCTTACAAACAGATGAAAGTGAGGATTAGAGGTTTTGTAATTTGCTCAGTCACATAGTTAATAAGTGGGATTGATAAGTGTGGGATTTAAACCCAGACCATCCAACATTAAAGCCCACTCTTGTTTCGCTATTACTCTATTGTTTTATTCTCTTGTTTTGCCTTTTGTTCTACAGCTACAGTGAATTTCAATAACTTCTTTTAATCATACAGGAGCTAATGTCCTAAGTGTTTCCTTTCTGTGCAGAATATTTTCCATTTGCTTAAGTTTTTTCCCATGGAGTATTTACCAGCCCTCTTCTTACTTCTTCCCTCTCTCCTTGGTTTTATGACAGGGCCTCAGAATGTGAGCCCTTTTGTCCTGGATTTTAAGCTTTTCTCATTTAAAAAAAACACTGATTTATTTTTTAGAGAGGGGAAAGGAGGGAGAGAGAGAGGAAGAGAAACATCAATATGTGGTTGCCTCCCGCATGTCCCCTACTGGGGACCTGGCCCGCAGCCCAGACATGTGTTCTGACTGGGAATCAAACTAGCAACGCTTTGGTTCACAGGCCTGTGCTCAGTCCATTGAGACACACCAGCTGAGATGACGCTGTTCGCATTTAAAAAAAAAAAATCTTCCAGGATCCGTGAGGTTATATGCAGAGGTTTTTCTGGCACTAAGGGCCTTAGTAATATCAGGTCCTAAGATCGTGACATTCTATTTTCACTAGTCTTTTGCCTTCTGCCTCATTAACTTTATGAATATTGACATCATGAAGAATAACCTTCCTGCCTGTTGTGCTGGCATTTTGGCACTTTGGAGCCTTCTAGGACGTATTCTATTGATTTTACTTCCTTATTTCAGGGCCTGGTATGTGGGTGGAAAACAAAGCCACATCGAGTTCTCAGGAATCTCATCAAGGCACTGAGGCTCCTACCCTGTGTCAGAGGAGTCATCTTATTGCCTCAGCCTGTTAATTCCTGGGTTCACAGTATTAGCATTTGTCAGTGGTGAGATCATTTCTCCAGGTGAATTCAGTTTAAGCAGTTAGTATTCAGATTGAGTTGAGGATTAGAAGGGTAGTAATTTCTGAAAGGAAGCTGGTGAAAAAAGAAGGGATCAGTGGAACTGCACTTGTAACCTGTCTTGCTTTTGTGTACCTGTACCTGTTTGTACTGTAACAATACTCCAAATTTACTTTCTGTGTCAGCATTCTGAGGACCAGAGATGAAATAGGCATCCCTTTGAGTTCTCTTCTGTGTTCTTCCAGCCAGTTAATTCACTGGGAAGCAACACTGTAGCTGTGTGTTTGCAAGGGTGGGTCTTCTGAAGGTTTTGTAAATATTCATAACCTAAAAAGGGTGTGTTGAGTGTTATGGTTTGTTTTGTTCTGATGTACCCTCACGGTAGCTGTTTGGCATGTTATGTGGGAATTACATGTTAATCTTGACTCTTCTTTTTCTAGGTGCCTTATGCCTCTGGCATGCCTATCAAAAAAATAGGCCACAGGAGTGTTGATTCCTCAGGGGAGACAACATATAAAAAGGTGTGTTGGGTAGAACCCTTTCGTCTTACTCAAGGAAGGGGTAGTTCTGTCAGGAAGGGGTAGTAGTTCTGTTCCCTTGATATTACTGTCCATATTCTATCCTATTTCTGGGTATCCTAAGCCTTTGCACAATAGCGTCGTCATACAACTTGGACTTTATTTATTTATTTTAAGATTTTATTTACTTTCAGAGAGAGGGAAAGGGAGGGAGAAAAACATCAATGTGCAAGAGAAACACAGATCCATTGTCTCTTGTTCACCCCTAACTGGGGACCTGGCCTACAACCCAGGCATGTGCCCTGATTGGGAATCAACCTGGCAACCTCTCAGTTCTCAGGCTGGTGCTCAGTCCACTGAGGCACACCAGCCAGGGCACAACTTGGACTTTATTTTTATGGACAGAGAGGAAGGGAGGGAGAGAAACATCAATGTGTGGTTGCCTCTCGTGCGCCCCCTTACTGGGGGCTTGGTCCGCAACCCAGGCATGTGCCCTGGCAACCCTTTGGTTCACAGGCCTGTGCTCAATCCTCTGAGCTACACATCAGCCAGGCATAACTTGGACTTTAGAGTTTACTTCACAAAGGGTGAAATGGGTTAATTTCTCATCTATATGTAATTAAATTGAGAATGTTCTTAGTGGGTAAATCTGGTGAGGGATGCCATTTCACTGAGCTGAAGAAATTAGGTTTCCCTGTTAGATATAAACATGTAACAAGCTTCCAAGACCATTCTTCCCTTGTTACAGGGAACCACGTCTCTTGAAGTCTTTCTGTCTTTCCTCTCATGCTGGTTATACATAAAAATCAAGGCCATGTCTCACCCAGCCTGGTGATACAGAGATAGACAGCAGGTCGAGTGTTTTTCTTCTTTTTTTTAATTTTAAGAATGTAGTTTCAGCTGGTGAATAGGGTCTAGAACAGCTGCTTTTTGAGCTTTCTAATGGATTTAAAAGATAGTAATAGCCAAGAGCAGAAAATTGAACTGATGAAGGGAAAACAGGAGGAGAAAACATCCTGGGGTGACCTTGATTCTTCATATCTGGACTGTTTGGAGATGCTTATACTTCTCCGGGGACAGGTGCTCCTATTTAGCACCTGTAGCTTGTCTGATACAGGGTGTGCAGATTTCTTGGAGTCATGTTTCTGGCCCACATAAAATTTTCTTGTGTCTGTTCTCTGCCTTTATTGTATTGTCCCAAGTAATGCATTCTCATTCTCTGGCAGGGTCCTGACTGTCCCTAGGAATGGGCTCTGAGGCACATGTCAATTCAACAGACATTTATTGAGCTCTTTTTATGTGCTAAACATTGAGACAAAAAGTTGAGTTTCTAGTCTAATTGGAGAGGCAAACACTTAAAAACACTAATTATACTTTTAATGCCCAGTGAAGAGTAGTTAGAAATATAAGTAAAATATGGTGAAAGTTAGGGATGAGGAAAATAATGTAGAACAAAGCTGTCTAATAGAACTTTCTACAGTGATTGAAATTTATTGTATGTATCATCCAAAATGGTAGCCACTAGTCATACTTCAATATGTGGCTAATAAGACTGAAGAAGTGAAAAATTTTTTAAGATTTTGTTGTATTTATTTAAATTTACTTATTTATCTTGGGAAGGGAAGGAGAGAAGGTGAGAAATATCAATGCGTGGTTGCTTCTGGTGCATCCCCTGCTGGGAACTGGCCCCTGCTGGGAACTGGCCTGCAACCCAGGCACGTGCCCTGACAGGGAATTGAACCGCGATGTTTTGGTTCACAGGCCCTTGCTCAATCCACTGAGCTACATCAGCCAGGGCTATTTTATTTTATTTTTAGAGAGAAGGGAAGGGAAGGAGAAAGGGTGAGAAACATCAATGTGTGGTTTCCTCTTGCATGCTTCCTACTGGGGACCTGGCCTACAACCCAGCATGTGCTCTAGACTGGGAATCAAACCAGTGATCCTTTGCCTCGTAGGCCTGTGCTCAGTCCACTGAGCTATACTAGCCAGGGCAAAAGTGAAATTTTTAAAATTATTTATTGATTTTTTTATTTTTAGAGGGGACAGGAGGGAGAAAGGGAGAGAAAGAGAAACCTCAATTGGTTGCTTCTCAGGCGTGTCTGGATTGGGAACTGAACCCGAGGCCAGGCATGTCCCCTGATTAAATCAGCAACCTTTTAGTTTACAGGTTGATGCTCCAACCAGCTGAGCCACACCAGCCAGGGTGAAGAATTTTAAATTTAATTTTAGTTAACTTAAAATGAAATAGCCATATATGTCCTGGTAGTGCTGTATGATGCAGCTTATGGCAGTGTGATATTTTTCCATGGAATCAGAATTCTAGATTTTAAGGGTTTTGATCACAGTGATAATTTCTGAGAGAAGTATTTAGATTTAGAATTATCTGAGTCTTTGGGCTTCTTCGGTTAGGAACTCCCCCCCCCCCCCCCCCCCCCCCGCAACTCTGTTGTTCTTAGAACACCAGTCAGGCCCTGCCTTAGAGGACGGAAGCTTCTCTAGCTGGGTAGATACTCAGATTATCACTTAATTTTAATTACATTCTATATCAGATGAATAACATTTTTGGAGCGCCCCAGCTACTGGGGGGAAGGAGCTTTTGGAGTGAGACCTAAGATTGTTTTCTCAATACAGTGTATCTTCTAAATATAGATATGGATAGGAGGGAACACCTTGCTTAGCTGAGTCTGGCTGGGCCAGTCCCACCTTTGCTACTCTGTATCGTCAGGCCCTTTCATTTTTGCCAGGCCAAACTGCAGTGGAAAGCATCAGGGGTGGGGAAACTGGATTAGTCTGAACTACTAGGACAGTTGTTTTCAAGTGCTCCTTCTGAGTTTTTACTACTGTGATCAGATTTATTTATTGTTATTTTATTGATTTTAGAGAGAGAGAGAGAGAAACATCGGTTTGTTGTTCCATTTGTTTCTGCATTCATTGGTTGATTTTGTATGTGCCCTGACTGGATAGTGAACCAGAAACCTTGGTGTGTCAGGATGATATTGTCACCATCTGAGCTACCAGGCCAGGGCCTGATCAGGTTTAATACTAGAAACTTGCCTCTATTTCCTTTTTGTTTTCAGACAACCTCATCAGCCTTGAAAGGTGCCATCCAGCTAGGCATTACTCACACTGTGGGGAGCCTGAGTACCAAACCAGAGCGGGATGTCCTCATGCAAGACTTTTACGTGGTGGAAAGTATCTTCTTCCCCAGGTACAGAGGTTAATGTTCACGATAATGTCCTGGAAAGTGTGGCTTTTTCATGTCAAACTCAGGGCAGTTTTAGGGGTTCGGGTCTAACTTAGACCTCTGTCCAGTTCTTAACCAGGGTGATGTGGGACCCTGGAGTGTGGAGAGCAGCTTCTGTCCTTGTCTGTTTCCGAGAGCCTCTGGCCTGTAGAGTGAGTCCTAGAAAACGATGCCATGCATTTGGGTAGAAGGCATTGTTGTTCCCTGTGTTCGTGTCTTAATCTCCATGTTGTACTTTTTGTCCCACTAAGTAACTGACTCGTGTAATCTCTCTGGTTCTCTCAGGAGTGATGAATTGACCCATCTCTGGGTGACTCCCAGGGTGGACAGAGCCCTGGGTGACCACAAGTGGTAACTTGTGGTTTCTTCTATTTAACCCCACAGTGAAGGGAGCAACCTGACCCCTGCTCATCACTACAATGACTTTCGGTTCAAGACCTATGCACCTGTTGCCTTTCGCTACTTTCGGGAATTATTTGGTATCCGGCCTGATGATTATTTGGTAAGCTTCCGCATCCCATAACCCTGTGATTTCAGTGTTAGAGGAATACTCCTAAAGGGAGACCCTCCCTCTTCATAGCCTTACTCTAGTTTTCTTTTGGAACAGAATTGCATCTGTAGTTGATTTCTGGTTGGGTAGATCCTGGTATTTATGAACTTCTTGTTCTTTTCTTTCTGGGCCCCAGTACTCCCTCTGCAGTGAGCCACTGATTGAACTCTGCAGCTCTGGAGCTAGTGGTTCCCTCTTCTATGTGTCCAGCGATGATGAATTCATCATTAAAACAGTCCAACATAAAGAGGCGGAGTTTCTGCAGAAGCTGCTTCCAGGATACTACATGGTAAGGAGAAGCGGAGCACCAGCTATGTAGCCCACTCCACTGCTGGACAGGGCTGGGGGGCCTGTCTTCAGTGGGGGCAAAACCATGTCAGGGCTTCTGTCTTAAGAATATAATTCATTTTTGTGATTTCACCCCATCTCTTTACCTCTCTGTGGCTGAAAGGGGTTTTGTTTATGTATCCTATTTTAACTGTTATTTGGCTTAGACTGTCCTACCCAAAGGCCAGATTAAATGATGATTTTGTTTTCTGTTCTTAGTTCAGCTCCTACACTGAGGTATGAGGTTGATTACTTCTCTTGATAATACTCTATCCAATCTTATTCTGACCGATTGCTCTTGGAGGGTCTGGAGAAGTTAGGAAACTCCTTTGTCTCCTATTTTACCCAAGAATATACTATACCAAGGGCCAAGAGTTAAGACTTTTTTGGCACCTTATTCTCTTAAAACTCTAAAAGAATATATCCGTCAAACGTTCAGCATCCTGACTGATTACTGTATTGGAGGGTCTGTGGCTCAGCTTGGTGATGATCCTATCATTAGATGCATTGGGACATTTTAAACAAATAGCAGTATGCGGTGTGGGCTTATGAACAGACGGAATGTATCTGAATCCCAACTAACAAATGAAGGAAGGTGGGTGGCAGCGTTTGCTCTTGACTTTCACTGAAAGTCAGTTAATTTGCTCTCCTACTTTTTGTTTTCATGCCCTTAGAACCTCAACCAGAACCCTCGAACTTTGCTGCCTAAATTCTATGGACTGTACTGTGTGCAGGCAGGTGGTAAGAACATTCGGATTGTGGTAATGAACAATCTCTTACCTCGGTCAGTCAAGATGCATATCAAGTATGACCTCAAGGGCTCAACCTACAAACGGCGGGCTTCCCAAAAAGAGCGAGAGAAGCCTCTCCCCACCTTTAAAGACCTGGACTTCTTACAAGACATTCCTGATGGTCTCTTTTTGGATGCTGATATGTACAATGCTCTATGTAAGACCCTGCAGCGTGACTGTTTGGTGAGTTTGTCAGAATTCCTTCTCTCATAGACACCAAAACTCTCAGTCACTAAACAGCTTGGTTATTCTTAGGCATCAAATTTGTGGGAGACAGGACTCCATTCCTTTACTTCGTATGTCCCAGATTTCATTTGAAATAATTTTTACATTAGATCATTGTTATATGTTTACATTTTTACTTCTTCCCTGTTTCTCCTCCCCCCACCCTACCTGGCTTTATTTCCTTCTCTACCTACCCTGGGCCTCATAATCATACATTCTTTTTACTTTCATGGCAGTGCCATCATTCCTCAGATATCAGTCCTACTGATGAAATCACACAACTACATGTACTGGCATCTCTACATACATATGAAAGCCATCTCCACCGGGGTCCTTAGTTTCCCTCATCTTCCCATTTTCTGCTTCTCTGCAGATATTTCAGATAATTGAAATCATCTGAAGAGAGTACTCTTCAAACCACTTTAATTTAAAAAAATTTTTTTAATGTTAAATGTATTGGTATAATGTTGGTTAACAATATTATGTAAATTTTGGATGTGTAGCTTAATAATTGACACCTGTATAGTCTATTATGCGCTCACCACCCAAGTCTAGTTTCCTTCCATCACCATGCATCTGACCCCCTTTACCCTCTTTTGTTCTGTCCTCCACCCCGCCTTCCCTCTGGTAACCACCATTCTGTTTTGTGTATGTATGAGTTTGCATTTTTGTTTCTTTGTATGTTTTGTCAAACTGTTTTTTAACTCCCATCCCTCAGCCTTGCGTATCAACAAACCACCTCAACTTTCTGTCCTGTGCAATCCCTTTGTCCTGCCTCATTACCAGTGTATAAATATGTCTCTATACTCAACCATCCTTAATCTCCTTTCTTCCCAACTTGGTGGTTTATTCCAGGTCAGTCCCTTTTGTCCTCTAGATCCATTTCCTCCTCTATTTTTTTTTTTTAAGTATATTTGATTATGCTATTAGAGTTGTCCCAATTTTCCCCCTTTATCCCCGCTCCTTCCTGCACCTCCCCAACCCTCCAGCATTCCTCCCCCCTTAGTTCATGTTCATGGGTTGTACATATAAGTTCTTTGAGTTCTTTGTTTCCTGTACCGTTTTTTACTTTTCCCTGTGTATTTTATATCTACCAATTATGCTTTTTCCCTGTACATTTCCCCCCCATTCCTCCCTTCCCCCTCGCCATTGAAATCCCTTCATGTGATGTCTGTTTTTCTGATTCTGTTCTTCTTCTAGTGTTTGCTTAGTTTTTATTTATTTTTAGGTTCTTTTATTGTTAGTTGTAAGGTTTTTATCATTTTACTGTTCATATTTTTTTATCTTTTTCTTTTTTTTTTTTAAGAGTTATTTATTTATCTTTAGAGGGGAAGGGAAGGAGAGAGGGAGAGAAATATCAATGTATGGTTGCCTCTAGTGCATCCCCTGCAGGGAACTGGCCTGCAGGGAACCTGCCTGCAACCCAGGCATGTGCCCTGACTGGGAATCAAACTGCGATCCTCTGGTTCACAGGCCCGTGCTCAATCCACTGAGCTACACCAGCCAGGGCTTTTTTTATCTTTTCCTAAGTCTCTCTTCATTTTTTTTTTTGAATTCTTTTTTCTTCATTCTGTTCTATTCGGTTGTTTATTTCTTACTTTTGTTCCAAATCGTTGCTTTGAGTCCTGTTTTTCTTCCTGTCACTGTTGGTTCCTTGAACATTTTGCTGTGTTTCATTTTGGGTATGTTTAATTTGTCATCTTCATCCCTTACGCCACCTACCAAGATGGTTGAGCTGCAGCACCAAAGTGAGCTCCTGGAAGTGGTGGAAGTAAATCCTTTCCCACCTGTTCTGAGTTGGGAACTACAGGATATGATCCAGGCTCCGTAATATGACATAATCGGACCTGTCATTGTCTTGCCTCTACCAACCTCTCTAATTTGCCTCACCTGGTCATTGCATTTTATGTTCTAGCAAGACCAAATTATACCTCCCTACACATGTAACGTGCTGTTTCATACCTCCAGGCCTTGCAATATTCTTTCCTTCTTTTGTGTACTTGGACTTATTTTCTCATTTTTCCTTTAGAAATGTATATATCACTTCCTGACCGCCCCCGTACTGCCCCTCAATCATGTAAGCATGTCTGCTGTTGTACACATTTGACTGTGTTGTACTTATATTTACATTTGTTTTTCTTCCTAAACTATAATATCCTAGAGGACAGACACTCTTAAGTATCTTTGTGTCCCCCGTAAGCAGACACAGCATCTACAGATGGTAGGTGCTCAGTAAACATTGACCCGAGTTGAAGCTGGTCACATAAGGTCCTGCAGCAGATCTGCTCTGTCATGAAGTGACAGGGTGCTCTGGTACTCTTACCAGAGGTGCTTTACAGCACAAATACATATTTTTTATACCTTTGAGAATATAATGCTGTTTATGTGAAGAGATGAAAGAACAAAGAGCTTCTTGTTAGTTGCCTAATTTGTGTTTACTCGAAGGATAGAAAACTGAGGGGATACAACTGAAGAGTAACCAGAGGAGGGGGATAATGCTCTTCTCCAAGGGTAGGAGAACAAAGGATAATTTTATGGTTAGCCCTGGAGGTTTACTATACTCCAGAATAATTGGATCAGGAAAGCTGTGAGGTCCTGGAAAAAAGTCCTCATACCTCTCAAGGCTCAATCATGTTTTTTCCTGCCCTTAGGTGCTGCAGAGCTTCAAGATAATGGACTATAGCCTCCTGATGTCAATCCATAACATTGACCACGCACAGCGAGAGCCCTCAGGCAATGAAGCACAATACTCAGTGGACGCTCGCAAACCTGCCCCCCAAAAGGCTCTGTATTCCACAGCCATGGAATCTATCCAGGGCGAGGCTCGGCGAGGTGGCACCATGGAGACTGAAGACCAGTGAGTGGGCTCAGATGTACCAGGAAGGAGAGCATTTCTTTTTGAGGGAGGGATGTAGCTTCTGGGAAGGAGTAGCCTTGATTCAGCAGTTAAGTCAACAACGTTAATGCTTATATAAATGAGGTTTCTTAATATTTAAGGATGAACAAAAGAGTAGCAGAAGCTTAGATACATGAAACAGACTGACAGCTGCCAAAAAGGAGAGGCGGGACTGGGTGAAAGATGAAGAAAAGATTAACCAAAGAACTTCATGCACAACCTAGGGACACAAACAATGATATGGGGATTGACTTAGGGAGGGAAGGGAGAAAAATCAGGAACAACTGTAATAGAATAAGTTAAAGTAAGAAAAGGAAGATGTCTTAAATTTGGGATTTGTAGTACAACTGGGAAGGAGAGCTATTCAAAATTAAAAGACTTTCTTTTTTAATAGACACATGACTGCATATTATATTAGAATTTCATGAAAACCAGTTTATTACAGACTTTCATGGAAAGCATCTTTCTTACCATAAATGGATCCATCAGGACATGTGTTTAACTAAAGAACCATAAATATTCTTTAGTTGGTTTTTTTTAAGACAATTTTTTGTTTATTTTTTATTTTAGAGAACAGGGAAAGGAGGGAGAAAGGGAGGGAGGGAAACATCGGTGTGAGAGAGAAACATCAATTGGCTGCCTTTGGCAAGCACCCCGCAACCCAGGCACGGCCCTAACGAGGAATGAAACCGGCAACTTCTCAGTTTATGGGAAGATGCCTAACAAACTGAGCCACGCTGGCCAGGGCTCATTTTTGAGGTGTCCTTTAATAGGACTCAAGAAGCGTATCTTAGCCATGGCCGGGGTAGCTCAGTTGGTTGAGTGTGGTCCTGATACACCACGGCTGCAAGTTCTGTCCCTCATCAGGGCACATAGAAGAATCAACCCATGAATGAAGTGGAACATGTCAATGTCCTCTCCCTCCATCTCCCTTTTTTTTTCCTCGCTCTTTCTAAAATCAAATAAAAATTAAAAAGAAGTAGAAGAGTGTCTTAGTAGGCATAGATTTAAATATGGGAGTAGTGAGGGAGTTTTAGCATTAATTTGGGAAACATCCCAGAATTGCTCAGTAGGGGTGATTTTAGATTCTCTGCAGTAGAATTGGGGTAGGAGAACAGGCAAGTGAGGTTTGGAGAGAGGTTTTAATACATACTCCTGAGGGGTTGGGATCAGAGTAAGGCTCTCACTGTTTCCCAGTTTATGGAAGATAAGACAGTTATGTTTAGTTACCTTCTAGCCAAAAGATTTTGTTACTTTTTCCTTGTCTTCCTCAGTATGGGTGGCATCCCTGCTCGGAATAATAAAGGGGAAAGGCTGCTGCTTTATATTGGGATCATCGACATTCTGCAGTCTTACAGGTGAGAAACATGGATTCCATATTAGGGGGCAGAGTGGATGCAGATAACCACTCATTTCTGTTTTAGATGGGTTTGTCACCAAGTTCTTCCTGAAACAAGAACAGTAAGTTGTGATCTGGTTGCTCATCTTCTTGGGTTGCAAGTGGTGATTTATTTTCTTGATTTTTGCCGGTCTTCTGGCTTCCTTACCCCACCACCCCCTCGAACATACTGTGTACCTCTGTGGAAAGCTGAGTCACTTCTCGGAAGCATCAGGGTAGAATATACCATCTGTCTGACTCTGAAAAACCTGGGAGATGAGTCATACTCCACATTGGGATACCCCTGGAAACATGTTGCCCTTTTCCATGGCGGAAAAACAAGAGGGTCACTGTGTTCTGTAAAAGTATTAATTAGCCTGACTAAGGGACAGTGAAGCGATGGTGAGAGAAGAGCTGGAATATTGGACCCCAGTTTTGCTCCTGTAAGGTTTTTGGTACTAATGAGGACTTGGACGCTACTTGGTTTACTGATTCAGCATGTTATCTAATTTTAACCCCTCTCTTATAGCCTTGCTTGTTTGTTTTACAAGCTGTTCTTTTCCAATAAGTGTTCTTCTCCCTGACTTGTCAGGGACATACTAACTACCCTGTCCTGTTGGGATAATTGACTTACTCAGAAACAGCTTTGATTTCCATGCTGAGTAAGCACTGCTGTGTCTATTCTTTGGGAAGCCAGCGTAATAGTGATAGTGCTTTCCCAGCCCCTCTTTTTTAAAGTTTTTCTGTTACCGTTGCCTGACTCCCTAAAATAAAAAAGTGTAAGATCATTATTTAAAAACTATGTGAATGCAAGATGTGCATTTTTCTTGGCAGGTTTGTTAAGAAGTTGGAGCACTCTTGGAAAGCTCTGGTACATGACGGGGTGAGTAGTTGTCAGCCAGTGGCTCCTCTTCTGCCTTCCTCATTTCTGATTTGCCCCCGTCATTTTTTTCTTATCTTACTTCATTTGTGGGGTCTATACTTGTACTAGGGTCTCAGCCTAGGGAAAATGGCCCTTGGACTAGAGGTCCTCTTGTTGAACCTCCCCAACTCTTAACTCTGCAGCCATCTTTTCTGTTCCACAGGACACTGTATCGGTGCATCGCCCAGGCTTCTATGCTGAACGGTTCCAGCGTTTCATGTGCAGCACAGTCTTTAAGAAGATACCCTGTAAGTGGCTTCTACAAGATGAACCCCCAGTGGCTCGCTTATGCCAAGAGATGGGGGCAGGATACCTCTCTCAGGGAACTGCCAAAGCCAGAGGCTTCTCCTGCTCTGCCCATATCCCATGAGAGCTGCTGCCCGTCATGTCAGTCATTCTGTCTGTCCCAGTTGTTTCCACGTGGCTTTCCCCTCTGGCTCTCCCTACATGTGTCATTGAGGTGAGGGGCATTTCTGGGAGAGGGACTGCAAAAAAATGCGGGTGTAGGATCCGTGTCACAGGCTGAGATAGGTAGAGCCAGACTTTTATGGACAAGGATATTATCAGTGTTCTATTTTGCATTTATAAGTCCAATGCCGAGGAGTTTTCAAACTAGGTTCAAATTGTTGGAGAAGCATTTACTGATTTCTGCTTAGCAAATGTTTTTATTCTCTTCCTCTCAGCTTTCTTGGTTGAGAAGTGCCAGTGTTCTTCTTTCCAAACCTTTCATGTTGCTGCCACCGGCACATTTCAGCTCCTCCTTCCCATCTCCTCATCGTAGGCATCCCTCAGGGAGTCAGAGTGGACCTGGGCATGCCACACAGTTTTAAGAAACGTGGGAAATCCTTTCAAAGTCTTTTCAAAGTGATGTATAACGGGTGTAAAGTATCATCATAGTGCTGTGTGCATAAGTGCTTTGAGGATATATTGTGAAAGGGTCATCTTTGTCAGGTTCAACTGAAGGATAATGTTAAAGAACAGGGAGTTACGAAATAGAGAACATCTCATCAGGTAGAAGCAAAGCTATTGAGGTTGCTTGTAGGAGGGGAGAGAGGGGAACGTCTCCTTTCCTCTTGGTTCTCCTTTTCCCAGAATGAAGTGAACTGAGATGCCCCCTCCTCTAAAAAGTTGTTCATAGGTTTGTCTGTGTTGACATTAACCCTTCTTCCCACTTTGGAGAAAAACAACTCTGTGTCTGTGTTGAGCTGCTAGCAAGTTGTGTCTGTGTCTTGGTGACGGTTTCTGAGGTGGGTGCTAAGTAGGCTCTCTCTTTCCCTTTGAAGTGAAGCCCTCTCCTTCCAAAAAGTTTCGGTCTGGCTCATCTTTCTCTCGGCGAGGAGGCCCCAGCGGCAACTCGTGCATTACTTACCAGCCATCGGTGTCTGGGGAGCACAAGGCACAAGTGACAACAAAGGCGGAAGTGGAGCCAGGTCAGCGCCAGGGCTGGGGTTCCCATGTGACTGGGCACTCCCTCCCTTCCTTCTGGGTCCTTATTTACCTAGGACTCTGCTTCCCATTCCTATTCAGGAAAAGCCAAGTTGCTACGAATTTTCCCCTGTATTCCCCCCACCCCATTTTCTCTTCTTTTTTATTTATTGATGTTCTTCCTTTTTCTTTTTTCCAGGCGTCCACTTCGGTCGTCCTGATGTTTTACCTCAGACTCCACCTTCGGAGAAAATCAGTGAGGTCTCGACTATTCCTGACCCCTGTTTTTCACCTGTAGTTGGAGAGACTTTGCAAATGCTATCTACAAGGTTGGTTCCTTGCCCCTCTTTCCGTATAATCTTCTCATCTCTTTCTTCAGGTCCTTGGAAACCTCCATATCTCTGTTTTGTTTTGTTTTTTCCCAGAGGTCATTGTCTTGCTCTTCACTAGATTTTTTTCAGGTTCACCTTCCTCAGAGTTCATCTTTAGTGACTTAGAGAAGTGTGTCAATATCTCTGTACCTTTAAGAGGTGGGGAGAAGCCTTTGTGTGCAGCCTTTTCTGATACTTAGTCAAAATACCCTAACTAGCCTTTTGTCTCCTGGTGAGTTAAGTGAGTTCTCAATTTACGATGTAAGGCTGGAAAGATTCCTGGGCGGAGAAGACAATGAACAGTCAATCTTTCAAAAGAATCCAGTGTAAAGGTTGTGATTTAATTTTGTTAGGTGGTGTCTTAATTTTCTATTACATAGAAACTTGGTGGTTTAAAGTAACAAACATATGCCATAGTTTCTCTGGGTCAGGAGTCTGGGTGCAGCTTAGCTCTGTCCTCTGGCGAAATATCTTTCATGAAGAGGTAGTCAAGCTGTTGGCTGGGGCTAGGGTCTCATCTGAAAGCTCGTCTCTAAGTTCATTTATGTGGCTTTGGGCAGGATTCAGTTCCTTGTAGGTTGCTGGACTGAGAGCCTTAGTTTCTTGCTGGCTGTTGGCCTCAGTTGTTTGCCACATGGGCCTCTCCATAGGACAACTGAGACAGCTGACTACCCTCAGAGTGCATGCACCTAAGCAGAAGCCACATTTTTTTTACCATCCGGTCTCAGAATTGACATCCTACCACCTGTACAGCATTCTGTTTACTAAATCTAACACACACGTAAAAGGAAAGGATTACCCAGGGTGTGGATACCAGGAGGGCAGGGATCTTTGGGGCCATCTTAGACGTCACCTGTTATAATCCACCCTCTGACCCCTAGTGATTCACATCCCTCCATGTGCAAAATTCATTCCCTCTCATAGTTTCCAAAAGTTTCATTTCATTATAGCATCAGCTCCAAGTCCAGAATTTTGCCATCTAAATTAGCTCCAGGTTTGGGTGAGCTTCCCAGGGATTGTTCCTTGAGTTCCTCCCAATTTGTGGACTTGCGAAAGGAGGACACGTGCTATCTTCTCGCCACCCACCAGTGTATAGTGGTGAGACAAACATTAGATAACCCCTGAACACACTCCTGTACAAAAAGGGGAGTGTGGGAAGCACAGAGGAATCACTGATCCATAGCTACCTAAAATACAGCAAATACTGGATTTTTTTGTCGTGTCTCAAAGCATGGGAATAATTTTCCATGGCTCTTGCCTCTACCTTTTGGACTCTTCGTTTTGCATTCTGAGTCTACCTTTTTCAAGAAAACAACACTGCGTTTGCAGCTGAGTACTTTCCTCAGCCTGCTTCTTGCCGGTAGAATCTGGGGGATCCAGGGCTCTTTTCATTTTGCACTGTTACTCTTCCTTTCAGTCCAGACTGGTGATGTTTCTGCTGATACAGTACTCAAAGATTTTGGGGGCCTTCTGTGCATCTCATTGGTGTTTACTCCATTAAATAAAAGCCGCACCTACAAATACCTTCTTGATAAGCCCTGTGCTTCTTAGAGATCTGTTGAGAGGATCTGTGACATACACCTTTATTCTTTCTTAATGTTTTGAATTGCCTTTTCTTTATGACTGAATAGTACTCTGAAACATCAACTTGAATTTTTCTGAGGCCTTAAAAAAATACAATCATACCCTTGGTTTCATCTTTAGACGACATTTTCATGGCATTTCCATAGTTGGTTTTTTTTAAAGATTTTATTTATATATTTTAGAGAGGGGAATGGAGGGAGGAAGAGGGAGAGAAACATCAATGTGTGGTTGCCTGTAGTGCACCTGCCCCACTATGGGGGCCTGGCCTGCAACTCAGGCATATGCCCTGACTGGAAAATCGAACTGGCGACCCTTTGGTTTGCAGGCCAGCACTCAATCCACTGAGCCCTAGCAGCCAGAGCTGCATTGCCTTGGATTTTATCCTTACTCAGAAGACTTTTTCTTTCTTTCTTTATTTTCTCTCTTTTCTTTCTCTCCTCGCTCTTCTTTCATTTTTCAGAGAGAGGGGAAGGGAGGGAGACAGAGAGGGAGAGAAACATCGGTTGCCTCTTGCACACTGACCTGCAACCCAGCATGTGTCCTGACCAGGAATCAAACCAGTGACCCTTTACTTCACAGGCCAGCGCTCAGCCCACTGAGCCACACCAGCCATAGCTGAAGCCATTGCTTAATTTTAGCATTGTTTGTTATCTGGAGAGTCTCAGGATTTTCAAAACCATCAGCTCCTGACTTTTTGTTCAATAATCCTTCTCAATTTATTTTTCTTCTCTCATATTTTACTATAAGCATTAAGAAGAAATGAGAAAGCACTTCCAGCACTTTGCTTAGAAATCTCCAAGGCAAGATCACCCAGTTTATTAGGCACATATTCTGCTTTCCGCATAACTGTAGATGACATTTTGCTAAACCTTCATTCCATTACACAACAAGGATCTCCTTTCCTTTGATTTCTAATGAGAGTTTTTTTCCCTCACCCTGGACTGTGTGGCTCAGTTGGTTGGAACATTGTCTCATGCACTTGAAATGTTTGGGATTCGATTCCTGGTGAGAGCACATACCTGGGTCATGGGTTCATTTCCTGGTTGGGATGTATATGGGAAGCAACCAACTGATGTTTCTCTTGTTAATGTTTCCCCCTCTCCCTTCTTTCTAAAATCAATAAACATTTTTTTTTAAGTTTTTTTCCTCACTTTTCTTTCAGCCCTCACTAGCAACTCTAATTAGAGTCCAAAATTCTAATTAGAGTCCAAAATTCTATAGAATATTCAGAGCACTTCTAAACTTTAATTAAAACTCTCTCAAAGCTCATTTCTTTCTTCCATAGTCACTTCCACATTTTAGATTTTTATTATAGCAGTACTTCACTTGCAGACATATCATTACCTATTATTATGTGACAAATTACCCTAAATCTTAGCAACTAAAAACAACAAACATTTATTATCTCATATTTTATGTGGCTTAAGAATTGAGGTGTGGCTTTACTGGGTGCCTTGGCTCAAGGCTCTCAGTCAAGCCGTTAGCCAGGGCAGTGGTCTCATCTGAAGGCTCACCCAGGGGAGGATCAGTTTCCAAGCTTATGTAGTTGGCAGGATTCAGTTCCTTGTTCCATGGGCCTATCATAGGGTGGGTCACACAGGGCAACTAGCTTCCCTCATAGCAAACAAGTAAGAGAAAGGAAAACCCAAGAGGAAGCTACAGTCTTATTGTAACCTAACCTCAGAATCGACATCCCATCACCTGTACTCTATTTTGTTCATTAGAAGAAAACTACTAAATCCAGCCCATGCTCAAGAGAATTATATAATGGCATGAGTATCAGGCAGCAGTGATCACTGGGTGCCTGCCATACCTGGGGATTGAAGACAGAAGAAAAGAGGTGTTAGGAAATAGTTCATGGTTTCAAGAAACTAAATAATTAATTAAAATAATGTGTTTCTTGGTCTAGTAGCCTTTTGGCCTCTTCTTTCTGAATCCTGGATTGAATATGAAATGAAATAGGGAGAACAGTATAAAATTAGACTTGAGAGGACAGTACTTTCTTTTTTATCTTCTAATTCTTCTAACATTTTTTTTCCTCCCATTAGTTCAGACCTCTTGGAAAAGCTTGAAATTGAAGAGTCAGAGTTCACCCATGTGAGTGTCTGGGATGTGGGGGAGGTAAATGCTATGAAAAGTATAAAGATGATGAACTAATGGAGTGTGGACCACGGTGTTAATTGGCAATGTTGGAGGGACTGGGTGCCCCTTAAACCTTGCCTTTATGGAAAGCATTATGCTGAGTGAAATAGGCCAGGTGCTGAAAGACAAATACCATGTGATCTCACCTTTAACAGGAAGCTAATCAACAAAATAAACAAGCAAGCAAAAAAAAAAAAAAACAAAGACACTGAAATAGAGAACAAGGGGACAGTGACCAGAGGGGAGAGGGAAGGGAAGTTAAGGGGGGAAAAGGGGGGAGGGATTTGGAGGAACAAATAGGAAGGACACAGGGATGAGAACTAAGGGGGGCAGAAATGGGAGGGAGGTGGGGAGCAAGGGGCGGGGGAGGCTGGGATGGGAGAAATAGACAAAAAAACTATACTTGAAAAATAACTAAATAAAACTAATTTAAAAAAATGAAAAACAAACAAAACAAACAAACAAAAAACCTTGCCTTTAAAAATTTTGCTTGTGGTACCGTGTAGTAGGAAATCGAGGCTGAAAAGGAAGAATATTTAACTCTGTCAGGTTGAAGTAAACTTGAATTTGTCTTCTCCCTCCTTATGTAATAATACTCCTCATTCTTAACTTTATACCCTTTCCCTTTTCAGTGAGCAGAAAACCTCAGAAGACCTGGAACAAGATTCTACCGTCTCTGTGATCCCAAGAAGTCAGCACTTGCCCCAGCAATGCTGAGTTTTCTTCTTGGTCATCAGAACAGGAGTATACTGGGGGCTAGGAACGCCTCCAACTCTTCTCCGAAGAAGAATCTTTTCTCCGAAGAAGAACCTCTTCTCCTTCCCCATCCTCATGAATGGGCATTAGTGACTCAGACAGTTGAGGGCACCAGCATCCTCTGCACTCCCGAGCTGGGTGGCACGAGTTTTCAACTAGCCAGCCAGTTGGCAATGGTTTCCACAATTGAATTGTTTCCACGCCCCCATTCTTCCTGCCAGAAATGGGGTTGTTGGACTTAGTGGTTTTCTTCCTTCTCATCTACCTATCACCTGGAGCTAGACTCTTAATTTCCTCAGGACAGACTGGCTGGCACATTATCCTTATAGTAGCTTGCTCTTTCTGGAAGAAGATCCCTATAAACTTTGAAATGGTTTTTGGGGGTGTGAGGGTGTTTAACTACCTTCCAGCCATTTTTTCCACCTGAAAAAGGAAAAGAAAAAATAGTGCAAAGCACATAATTTTAAGCCAGACAGTTTCAGATCAAAACTCCAGAAGTGCTGGAGAGATGCTTACTCAGATGGTTTCCTCTGAGGAGCCCTGGTGTTTGAGAAGCAGAAGTGTGGTGACTGCTCTGTCTGGAGCAGCTCCTCTGTAACTCCTCCCCTCGTGATGCATTTCTTAAGGCTGAAGGAATGGAGAGAGTGGGACATGGGGTCATCTTTACCCCTATTGTTGAAACAGTGGCACAGTCCTGGGGCTAGGAGAGCAGTGCCCTTCCTAGGCATGGTCCTCCTCACTGCTGGGCCATAGTGATTGTTACTGTTTTGCAATTTGAAATACGTTGCGGTTGTTTTTCTAAGTATGAAGACATCAAATGAATTTTAGGTCCTTCTCCAAAGGAGATTTGTTCCTTGCTCTCCCCACCTTTTCCAACAGTGTCCTGCTGTTTGTGGAGTTGAGGTGGCGAGGGCGTCACCTGTGTCTGTTTAACAGGCAGTCCGTGTCTATGAGGCTTGAGAATATCTCTTAAACTCATGGGAGCCAGCAGGTTCTTGCCTCGGTGAGGTCATTGCTGTCCCCCCACCTTGTCCTGCCCTCCTCTCTTCATGCAGAGAACTTGGAAATGGGGGCTTATATAATCCCTCTCCTCCTCATCTCCAAGAGTTGCAGTTCTCCGTCTGATCCTCCTACTCCTGTCAGGGGGAGGAGGGGACCTGGCATCTCAGGCAGATTATTAAATTCCCACCTCTTCATCCCACCCAACCGTAGTAGGTTAGCCCATACCCCAAGTAACTGTCTATATTAGACACCCCCAGCCAAATTCTGGCTGCCTGTCTTTGCTGCCATGTTCTTTTTTACAAGAAGGAAAGAAACAGTTCTTGCTATTTTTTTTCATAATTTACTATTTATGATGTATTTAAGTGTTTTATTCAAGACAGAGTTAAGTAGGGGTGGGAGGGTATTTGAGGGAGGCTGGGTCTTAGGGAAGGGGACGGGGAGTCAACATTTTTATGAAGTGTCACTATTTGCCTCTCCTTTGTATTGTTCAGAAATGGCAAATGCAATATAAGTGATAAATAATCTGGTTTTAATGTATTAAATTTTCATCAGTTATTTAGACGTCTTGTTTCTCGGTTCTTTTTCATACACCATCTCATCTGCTCCACCATCCAGGCTCAGGTCTTGTTCACATTGTCGTGAACGAAAGCTGCATCCTGTTCAGTTTGCCCTCACTCCAGCTTCTGTCTGACTTGGGCTGAGAGAAATGGCTGCTTCCCCTTCATCGTAACTGACGCTTGACAAGGAAAAGCTGCGAATGAATATGGAAGGAGTTACTGTAGTTGCCTTGGTTGCAACTTACTTTGAGGGAATTGGGAATCCAAAGGTCAAAGTCTTCCTCAGTTTCAGAGGACGGTGGGAAAAGCAAGCATGAGATTAGTTGGGCCTCGGATTCCCTCTCTTTCTTTCCCTGGACATGGACCTACGGCAGTGATTTTCAGCCTTTTTAATCACATGGCACATATTACTAAAATTCTGCAGCACACCAAAAATATTTTTTGCTTATGTGACCAAAAATAAGTATAACTGGTTTACAAAGCAATAATGAAAATAGTAATTACCTACCCTTTTTGCTCCAAAGGGAGTTTAAAAAATCAGGCGCCTGTACTTGTACATAAGGATTTCTGGTACCAAGAATTGAGCAATCAAGTACAACTTTATGCGATGTGATCAGTAAGATGCATGTGTTACATGACCTATGTATGTGTATGGTTCAAGATGGCATTCACACTGGATGGCAATTGTGTTGACGGTTGCCATTTTTTTTTACCTCACAGTCCAAGAGATAAGAGGTCAGTGCACGTGACTAAATAGGTACTGCATGTTTTAAAAATTCCTGCAGCACATGTTGAAAATCGCTGCCCTAGTGTGTTGGCCTTCAAAAAGCATGGAGACTGCTTCCCACACCTCTGTTTTCTTGTTTTGTGAGGTTTGCCGAGACCCTTTACTGTGATGGGAACCTGACCAAAAGGTGGGGGGCTCATTCAAAGCATGTGGGTGGAAGAGTTTTGGAGAGAATACTCCTTTCCATACCACTATTCCCTGTCTTGGTGTCATTCTACAAATATGCAGCAGCTATGGAGCAATGTACTGGGCGGTTGAAGGTCGAAAGAAGTAACTGACCTTCAAGAGTTTACAGTGTCCAGGAGGAGCACACACACAACGTACACCAAAACGTGACATGGTGAAGGGTTTCAGTTCTCTGAAAAAGTGATACAGAACGCAAAGGGGTAAGAAAGAGGTTACTGTGGGCTAGAGGTGTTGGGCAAAGTTTCATTTGAGCTCAAGGGCCTAAAGGTACGAGAACAAGGAAGAGCCCATGGTGAAAGTGGTGAGGGGGACCTGAGTGAAAATACTGGAATAGGTATAGGGGAGGTACGAGTGGAAACCCTCACCACTAGCCTGAGGAGTTTTCATTTTAAATTGTAGGCAATATGCCCTGGCCGGTGTGGCTCAGTTGGGGCATCGTCTTACAAACTGAAAGGTTGCCTGTTTGATTCCCAGTCAGGGCACATGTCTGGGTCGCAGGCCAGTTCCCAGCAGGGGACACATGAGAAGCAACCATACACTGATATTTCTCTCCTTCCCTTCCCCTCTAGAGATAAATAAATAAATAAAATAAAATAAACAATTTAGAGACCTGTTGATGAAGTTTATCATAAAGTGGATAGAAAAAGCAGACCAGTTAGATTATGATAATTTAGGTGTAGGGTGAATTGGATCCAGGGTGATGGTGATATTAGGAGAGAATTGAGATGGTAATTAAAAAAAACCTTTTATTTTTAAAAAAACTTTTGAGAGGAGATGGGAGAATGAGAGGGAGAGAAACATCAATCAATTGCCTGGTCCGGTGGCCTCACACACCCTCAACTGGGCACTAAACCTGCACCCCAGGCATGTGCCCTGACCGGGAATCCAACCAGTGACCTTTTGCTTTTGCAGGGTGATGCCCAACCAACTGAGCCATGCTGGCAGGGCAGAACCTTTTATGATAGGACAAGTAATTGAAGTGAAGGAATTGAGGATTCTTAAAGATTCATGATACTTGAAATGAAAAAAATCACAACGTACATATAGGAGTGATAGCAATTTTGTACAACAAACTAATGGACACATCATAATCAAAATACAGCACAATTTAAACAGTGATTATGGCTAAATGGTGAGATCGGAGTGAGAGGCTGGATTTAATTTTTTTCCATATGTTCCACAAAGATGTCAGGGTCTGGGATTTTACTCTGCTTCCCCTACCTAACCTACCTAGTCCACCGGCAGGATTCCCATGAGACAGCAACAGGCAAACCTATAAACCTTTTACTGTTTCATGGGAATCCCACCAACTTTCTTTCACTTGCCTCAGGATAGTATCTTCACACGGCATAGAAACCTGTATGATCTGGTCTGATTTCTCCAACTCATTTTCCACTTTGGCCCCAGCCACGCAGACCACAGCTCTGATTTATCAGGAATGCATCTTTGCCTTCTGCATCTTCACACCCCATACCTACCCCTCATCCTAGACCCCTAGAAGCTTTGATGTGGAGATGTGCACCCCTGTGTGGCTCCGACAGGAGCCCAGCGATGCAGTTCTGGTTATAGGTGTAAATGCAGGTCTTATCTAGGTTTAGATCGCAGAAAGAGTTGAGATTACTGTCAGTCGACTCAGGACCACAAACCATCATTTACCTGCTTCTCCTGTCCCCATGGGGAGTAGCCACACTGGAAGGCCAGGCAGTGGGCCAAGAGGATTCTCAGTTTAATGACCCAGGCTGAGCCCTCCTTTAAGCTGGATAAGGAGAAAATTTCCTCCTCATAGTACTTGAATCTGAACATGTTTTAGGCATAAAATGGTCTTTCTGCTAACCTTACCATTCCCTCTTCAACATATTCACGCAACTCCTGAATGCAGAAGGCGCCCTCTTATGGTCAGAGTGCCTCTAGTGGTGAGCAGCAACTCCAACTGGTTGATTCTATAGGTGTCTGTAGCAACCCAATTCAGATGCAAGCAGAGCCTGTTAGTTAAAATGTCTACAACTAAAAGGGAAATCGAAATTATAGGATAATAAAACTGGAAACCCTGGTCTCATGTTTTACTCTTAAGCACACAATTCTCAGCTATTCTGAAAGTTATTCACCGAAGTTGGAGTCTCATTCATTCTTTTTTTTTAAATAAGATTTTATCTATATTTGGAGGGGAAGGGAGGGAGAAAGGGAAAGAAACATCAATGTGTGGTTGCCTCTCACATGCCCCCTACTGGGGACCTGGCTAGCAACCTAGGTATGTGCCCTGACTCTGAATCAAACCAGCGACCACTTGGTTTGCAGGCCAGCATGCAATTCACTGAGCTACACCAGCCAGTGCTCATTCATTCTTTAAGCAAAGATTTGACAGTTAAAACAGATTCCAAATTAAACTTTGTTTTTCAGTCTTTCAAGGACCCAAGTCTTTAGTCTTTCAATATCTCCTGTAAAATTTTTTATCATGAAAATTTCCAAATGAAAATAGAATAGTATGATGACCACCATGTACCCATCACCCACCTTCAGTGTTATCAACATAAATAAGACCAATCTGCCTCATCTCCAGCTTTCTCTCTGCAATTCCAAAGAACTACGTTAAAATAAATCCAAGACAGCCTATCCTTTTGTCCATAGATATTTTGACATATAACTCAAGGGATAAGGACTTTTCAAAACCATAACTATCATAACTTTTTTATACCTTAAAATATTAATCATCCCTTACTAAAAATATTCAGTTAGTGGTCAAAGTTAGCCAGCTGTCTAACAAATGAATTTTTACAAAAACAGTCATGTGCCACATAATGACATTTTAGTCAATGAAAAATTGCACATATGACAGTGGTCCAATAGGATTATAATGGAGCTGAAAAATTCCTATCGCCTAGTGACCTCACAGTCATCATAATATAGCGCAATGCATTACTCACTGTTGGTGGTGGTGCTGGTATACACAAACCTGCCCTGCCAGTTTTTAAAAGTATGGCGATACAATTATGTACAGTCCATAGTACTTGATAATAAACAACTATGTTACTGGATTATATACTTACCGTACTAGTCATTTTAGAGTCTACTTATTCAAAAAAGTTTGTATGCTGTGTTATGCTCACAACAGCCTCATCCTGTGTTTACTGCTTCTCTAGACTATCATTTTCTCTTATGCTCGATTTATCTCATGTTGTTTTGTATAGTAACATGCTGTACTGGCTTGCAGCCTAGGAGCAATAGGCCATACATGCAGCCTAGGTGTGTGTAAGGGTGCTCTGTGATGTTCGAATGACAAAATTGCCTAATGATGCGTTTCTCAAAATGTATCCCCATGACTATTTAAATTTTTTTAATTTATTGATTTTAGATAGAGAGGGAGAGAGGGAGAGAGATTTGTTGTTCCACTTACTTATGCATTTATTGGTTGCTTCTTGTATGTGCCCTAACCAGGGATCGAACCCTTGGTGTATTGAACTATGCTTTTAACTAATTTAGCTACCCAGCTAGGGCTCCACACATCTTTTTCTTTTTTTTTAAATTTTATTTATTTATTTATCTTTAGAGGGGAAGGAGAGAGGGAGAAACATCAATGTATGGTTGCCTTTCATGTGCCCCCTGCTGGGAACTGGCCTGCAGGGAACTGGCTTGCAACCCAGGCATGTGCCCTGACTGGGGATCAAACCGCGATTCTCTGATTCCCAGGCCTGTGCTCAATCCACTGAGCTACAGCAGCCAGGTTCCACACATCTTTTATTAAGGTTGCTGATGCCCTCCATGTTGCTAACTGTATCAGTCCTCATCTAGCCTGACATGTCAGCAGCATCTGATATTATGTTACTCCCTCCTTGAAACATTTTCTTCACTTAGCTCCTTGGATACTACTTTCCCCTGGTTTTGTGCTGGGGAAAGTAGCTTTGTGCTGCTCCATCTCCATCCTATTTTCTGGTTCCTCCTCTTCTCTCTGTCGTCTAAATGTTGAAGGAGTCCAGGGTTCAATTATATTACCCCTTCTTTAGGTCTATATTCTCTCCCTAGGTAATTTTTTTCAAAGTCCTTACAGTTGCCTAAAGACCCTGTATAATTTGTCCAACTCCCCGGTCACCTCCTGATCTAAATACCATCTAAATATCATGAAATTTCTATATGCAGCCTAGACCTTTTTTCTGAAGTACAAACTCACATCTACCCATTTCCTTGACATCTCCATGTAGGTGTCTAAAAGGCATCTTAAACCTAACATGTCCAAAGTTACATTTTTTTAAGATTTTATTTATTTATTTATCTTTAGAGGGGAAGAAGAGAGCGAGAGAAACATCGATGTATGGTTGCCTTTCATACATCCCCTGCTGGGAACTGGCCTGCAGGGAACCGGTCTGCAACCCAGGAATACGCCCTGACTGGGAATTGAACTGCGATCCTCTGTTTCACAGGCCTGTGCTCAATCCACTGAGCTACACCAGCCAGGGCTCAAAGTTACATTTTTGGTTCCTGCCTGTCTTAATCCATCTTTGGAAATAGTGACACCACTCTTCTAGTTGCTTAGAACCAATTCTAGAATCTTAACAATCTCTTCCTTTGCATTCTCCATCATATCCACTAGCAAATTCTATCAGTTTTGTGCTTTATGATATACTCAAAATCCAACTGTTTGTCCCTATGTTCACCTCTTGTTACCATCCTCGAATAAGCCACCATCATATTGTCAGATTACTGTAGTCTCCTAACTGGTCTGTCTCCTTCTGGTCTTTTCCTCCACAGTCTGTTCTCAACACAGCAGCCAGAGGTATCTTATTAAAACAGTAAGTCAGATTCTGTCAATCCTCTGTTGAAAACTTTCCAATAGCTCCTTATCTCATTCAATTCTTGAGGCTGTTCACCATCCAACGTCTTTACTCCCTTTGCCTCTCTGGCCTTATTTCTTCTCTCTCTGGCTCTCCACCTACTTCAGGCTTTACTGGTCTCCTTGTGCTTAAAATACACTCCTGACTCAAGGCCTTTTGCATGTATTCTTTGCCCCAGGTATCCTTTAGGCCTCTGTTCAAATGTAAGGCTTCCCTAATATCCTATTTATATAAAAAAGAAATCACACCCACTCTGGTTTATTTTTTTCTGAAGAGCTTACCATTATTTGCTTATGTATGTTTACTTATTGGTTTATTGTCTGCCTTCCCCCAGTGCTTGACCCACAGGTAAATGAGTAAATGGTTTTTGTTATTGCTTTTTTTCATTACTGAGCTCTTGTTTTACTGAAATACGATCCTATCAGATTTCATATTTTGTGTGTGTTGTGGCAACTTGCATATCTCTTCATTGGAAAGCTTCTGACATAGTTCTAAGGACATCTTCTCTGAAGAGAGTATTACAGGAGTGAGCAAAAGTAGGTTTACAATTGTTAGCATGGAAAAGAATGTGATAATAAATAATAACACAAGAACAAACTCTGTTTTGCATTCTCACAACTGTAACCCCATTTTTGCCCACCCTCGTAGCTCTCTGTTCTCCAGATTGAATCAAAGCAATCTAATAAGATCTAATTTTCACTATCTCATTTTTACAACAATTATATTTTATATTTTTTGCAGTATCTCCATAGACTTTTACAAGCATGGTAACAAAAACTTCGCAATCCATTGCATGACTGACTAAAGCTGAGACAGTGACCCCTCCCTGCACTGACATCATGGGTCATGTTTTCCCAGAACAGTGAAGACCGCATTCCTTCAGTTTCTCCTCCCTATGTTCCGGTTGAATGTGTGACTTTATTTACTTCTTCATTTAGAACACTGACTTAGAAGCTGTTATCCCTGACGTTCAACTTATCTTTGGAGGTGCATTATTCTAATGAATAGCATTTTTTGTTGATGAATTTTTTAAAATCCTCACCCAAGGGTATGTTTATTGACTTTAGAGAGAGGAAGGGGGAGAGAGAAACATCCATGTAAGAAACATCAATCTGTTGCCTCCTGTCTGTATCCTCTAGGTGTGCTCCCTGACCATGAATGGAATCTGTGACCTTCTGGCGTGCAGGAGGGTGCTCCAACCAGCCGAGGCGCCTGGCCAGGGCTGATGATGAATTTTACATTTTATGAAATAGTCTGACTTTTGATCTGATTTCAGCTGTTTGTGCTCGTTTCTATTTTGTACAATATTAATATAGCTATACATGCTTTCTTTTATTACTACTACCTAATATATTGGTTTTTTCCTCTCCCTTTATTTTTACCTTTTGTCATTTAGTTTGGTGTGTCTGTAGTTACATTGTGTAACTTTTTAAAAAGGAATGTAATTATTGTCTTTTAAATATATTTTGGTTATGTTTGAACTCAGCACTATTTTTCTGGAGTTCCCCCCCCCCCCCCCCACTTTCCTGTCTAGGTTATAGTGACCTTTCTCCCCCCTCTATTGATATAGAGATTTTACTCGTATACAACCTGTGATTATTACCAATAACTTTCAAACATATCCATCGAAACTTTACTAATACCTGGCAATGTCTACAACACTTCTCTCCCCTGTCTCCAGGTGGGTGTTCAGTTGCCAGGCTTGGTTCCTTCCTCTTTTCCCCGTTCACTCCAAGACAGTTTTACACGTGTGTGCGTGTGTAGTGGAAGATACTCCAAAGCATTTTAAGATGTTACTCTTGATTAACAAACCAAAATGGCTTACTGGTTTTGTCCTCCATTCTTTGAAAGATCAGGTAAAATTACTGATTTGTCAAGCTTTTCGGGGGCTCCGACCACGTGTCAGGCTCTGTACCGGGCTCAGGGATTGCAACAATTGACATGTTTGCTGCCCTAATTAAATGGGAAAGAAAGATACAGAAATAAAAGCAGTTCTGAGGGATACGGGCTTAGCAGTTAGTAGTTAGATGAAGACCGTGCTATGGGGAACAGTGGGAGCTGGAAAAAAGCGGACCCACCACTTATTGAAAACGAGAGCTCTGGAGTCCACACATCTACAGCACTTTCAAGGTGCTGTAGCTTCTCTTCGATCCCGCCCGCCAGCAGGGAACTCCACCAGAGAACCTGAAAGATGGCAGTAAGGTTTTTTGTGGTACTTCGGTCACTTCGCCCCCGCCGGTCTCTTTCGTTTTGGCAGCGCCTACAACTCCCAGAATGCAGCACGGGACGGGGCGGAACCAGCTGGCCAAGCCGAGGGCTGTGATTGGTGCTGAGCGATGGGCCAATTGGAGGAGTTGTTGTTAAGAGGCCCGTGAGAACCGGTTTGGGAGGGAGGACGGTGGCAAGATGGTCCTGGAAAGCACTATGGTTTGGTGAGGAACTAATTCGGAGCCTCGTGAGGGGCGGGACTGGATCCGGGGAGCGGGTCGCGCGGAGACCGAATGGGCCTGGGGTTGGGGTGGGAGTCTGGTGGGCGAGACGCGGCCTTGGGCCGGTAGGGAAGGAGCCCCATCGACTCCCTGAGTCATCATCCCGAGGCCCGGGAGAGGACTGGCCCGGGGTAACTCATGTTAACCCTCACCCCGCGGAGAGTCATTGACCGGCCGTACCTGCTGCTGTTTTCCGTTCCAGCGTTGTCTTCTCTAAACCAGCCCAGGTCTGTCTCTAGCTCGAGTCCCGTTTCTCGGACTCGTGATAGGCTTCTGCCCTCCTCAACATAATACATGTGAGAAAGAGAGACTGTAAATTCTCTCTCCAGTCCATTCACACGTCTCTCACTCCTGTGTCATCTTCAGAGGTACTGCTTATAGAGTGCTTTCTGCGTATCAGGCATTAATTTACTTCATCTCACTTAAACCTCACCTTATGTCTGTAAATGAGGATATGCAGTCGCAGCAGTTTTAATTGATTTACCCAAAGTCACACGATGATTAGGTGGTGAAGCCAAGATTTTAAACCCAGGGCCACCTGACACAGAGGCGCGCCAGCTCTCTTCATCGGTCTCAGACTTGGGCTGAGAGTGTGTTGAGCTGGATTAGAAGCTGAGGACACAGACTTTTGCAAGGTTTCAGGAGTTTCTTCTATGTGTGGGCTTAGCTTGCCAGATAAAATATAGGATGCCTGGTTGAACATCAATTTCTTATCAGTAATACTTTTCAATATGAAAATGGATGGAAGTATGCCCCAAGTATTGTGTGGAACATACACTAAAGAGTTGCTTGATACCTGAAATTCAAATTTAACTAGGAGTTGTGTAATTTTGTTTGCTACACCTGGCAGCCTCTGGGAGAGAGCATGTTAGAGTGGACAAAGGAGGGGGTTTGGTGGTGGTGGTTTTTTGTTATAGTCCAGCTGCATGTTCTTGAGAATGTAGTCAGTCTGTCTGTAAAATGGGAGTAATAGTAACATCCACTCTCCTCCCTATAGCAGTTAGGCAAAATGTATGTGACAGTTCTCTGTAAATAGTATAGCTCTGTACCGTATTAGTTGCCATGGTACTTGAGGAGTCCTCAAGAAAGAACGTAAGAGGGCCCCTGAAAGGACTTAGACAAATATTGAGAAGAACCTTTCTACTTAGGGGGAAGGGCATAAAACTGCTGAGCGTAAATCCCAAGGTGTGCTTAGGGATTAGAAATTTGACTAATGTGACTTTATTTTAAGGTTGTTGGTTTAAGGTGGTTCCTTTTTTTTTTTAAAGGTAGATGGAACCAGGTAGAAGACCACAAATGTCACACTGGCGGTGACTGAACTCTGTCCTGTACCCATTAATAGAGGACGGTTGAAAAGTTCTGAGATGGCGGAGGCAGAGCTTTATACAAAATGGCATTTAATATTAAGAGCCCTGACTGGTGTGGCTCAGTGGATTGAGTGCTGGCCTGCAAACGAAGCGGTTGCTGGTTTGATTCCCAGTCAGGGCACATGTCTGGGTGGCGGGTCAGGTCCCCAGTAGGGGGTATGCGAGAAGCAACCATACATTGATGTTTCTCTCCCTCTCTTTGTCCCTCCCTTCCCCTCTGTCTAAAAATAAATAAATAAAATCTTTAAAAAAATAATGATCTACCTTGGTATAGGAGAAAATATCTGGCCCAGGGAGACATATTGGTGACCTATTGTAATAGTTCAGGCACAGAATAATGATGAGAGCCACTGCTTTTTCTCTGTGCGGCCTCATGCTTTGTTTCCCTTAGATTCTCTGGAGGAGTTTATTAAAAATGACCACTGTTTGACTCTGTTTTCAATCTGCTGAGTCAGACTCCCAGCCAGGGAAGTCCACACATGTGTAGTCTTTTTAATGAAGACTTTTATGGAATAACTGAATAATATCATAAGCCCTTATTTTGATAAGGATTTTTGTTGGGAAAAATTATATCGTCGAGCAAAAATAGTCACAAGAAATACATGTTACTCCACTCGTATAAAGTTCAGTATTAGGAAAACTAAGCAATGTGGCTTTTGGGGATGCATGCATAGGTGATGGGGTATCTGTTTTTAACATCACCACCACTGCCCTCCCCCTCCCTGGGGTTCTGATGCACAATAGAGCGTGATGACTACTACCATGTTCGCCACAGTCTTTCAGGCCTCCTTTTCTCACTTTGACACCCTTCTTCCAGTCCTCACCTATTTGTTGGTCTCGTTCACCATCCTTATACGGTGGAACCTCGGTTCTTAGACTTAATTCATTCCAGAAGGCTGTTCGAGAAGCGATTTGTTCGAAAACCAAATATCCTTTGTTGCCTGAGAGATGTGTGACTGATCATTCAGGTATCGGCATGAACGTTGTCAGGTTGAGAATTGAAGTTTGACAGCTAAGACCTTTATCTGTAAATAACTTGGTTGAAAACTGAATTGTTCAAGATGGGAGACATTTGAGAACCGAGGTTCTACTGTGCTTAAGTAGCTGTTCTGTCTGGATGATTCTCAGAGACTCCACTGTTGTTTTTTTTTTAGGTTTGGACTCATCACTGTATTTTAAGCTAGAGAGATAGTTACTTCCCTGCTGGGGGGATAACAAGAAGCAGTGTATTGGAGGGAAAAAGAATAACAATGTGTGGTCAGTAGAGTCAGCCCTGACCACCTTTACATAGATTGAGTTTCCATTATAAGAACTAGCTTGTGTTTCATGCTTACTGTTAGGCACTGCGCTAGGACTCTGTGCATTTACTTCTCATAGCAGTCCTGTAGGACTGGTACAATAAAACTCATTTTATAGATGAAATAAGTGGACCTTAGAGACATTAAATGACTTCCTCAGAATCAGAATTAACAAGTAGCAGAATGGGGATTTGAACCTATGCCTGAAGAACACTGCCCTTCACTCTCTGTTCCACTTACCTTCCTGTAGCTACTTAATTACCTCTCAGTAATTTTTGGTTTGTGTTTATTACCACACAAAGGATATTGAAGGAGGCAAAGGATACTAAATTGCCTCCCTAGCCCATATTTTGCTTGCAAATAGAAATGAGGCGTCTTATCTAATCCCTTAGCTTTCTTAGCACAGATAGAATCATCGATTTAGAGTTCTAAAGGACCTTGATTATCAAGAATTGATTGTGTTCATGGGCTGTATAAATGCTTCCCTTACCTGCCTTCTTTTGGTCTCTGGAAAGATGGAGCTTGTAGTTCACGTGATCTGGATTCTTGTAGATTATGAAAAGTTGCAGGGACAGAAGAGGTGAGACCCCAAAACCATGAAACTTATTTTTGCAGTTGAGTCCAGCTATTACGCATTTAACCAGATGACTGCATTGTACTTTCTTGCACTCAGGGCCGCCAGCTGGATTATTTTATAAGTATTTTTAAGTTGCCTTCTTCATTTTGTATTTTTGGAATACTCCCATTTTAACAGCAGACTTAGAGTGTTCATCCCTGGCAGTAACACTTAATAACACTTAAATGCACCGTATAAAAAGGTGGTTGAGGCACATCAGTAGGTTGCCGCCTTCGGTGCTTATCAGAATCACTTTTGGAGATTTAAAATTTTTTCCTTCTTTTGGTCATTTTGAGTTAGTAAGTCTGGGTTAAGGCTCAGTCATCTGTATATTTAAAAGACAAAGCCGCAGGTGACTCTGAGTTTCACAAAGACTGAGAGGAACAGTTATCCCCCTTGGTGCCGCTCATGGGAAAGGTATCTGAGGAGGCGGAGCTCCCTGGAACTGGAGAGGTGCCTGAGAGCCTGCGCAATGTGTCTTTTCTCTCCTTCCCTCCTGATCTGACAGCGTGGACAACAGCGAGTATATGCGGAATGGGGACTTCTTACCCACCCGGCTGCAGGCCCAACAAGACGCTGTCAACATAGTATGCCACTCCAAGACCCGCAGCAACCCTGAGAACAACGTGGGCCTCATCACACTGGCCAAGTACGTGGGACAGGGGACAAGGGGGGTTGGCGGGTGGGTGGGGATTTCCCACATGTCACCCTCTGTGGCGTCCAGGTTGCTACCTTTTCTTTTATAGGTTTCATGAGGCTGCTTTAGCCCATCACCTATTTAGACTGCCTTCTTCTCTGGTTAGCATAAATATAAGTAGTAACTTGTTTTTAATATTAACCTAAAAAGATTTTATTTATTTATTTTTAGAGAGGGGGAAGGGAGGGAGAAAGAGAGGGAGAGAAGCATCAATTGGTTGCATCTGGTATGTGTCGTGACTGACTCCAAGGCCTGTACCCTGACTGGGATCAAACTGATGACCTTTCACTTTTCAGGACAACGCTCAATCCACTGAGCCACACCAGTCAGGGCGATATTGACTTGGATTTAATACAGTTTTGAAGCTCAATTTCCTGGGGTAAAATTTCAGAGTATATTTTAAAGTCAGTGAAAAGTGATTTGGGGTCAGAGCCCCAGGGCATATTTCACACATCCTGTTGCCCCCAAAATGATTTGCTGCAGGAATTGAGTCCTCACATGAGTGACCACCCACCCCAGTGTACGTGTGGTTGTGGGAAAACGAGTCTGGAAGCGGCGGTGGTGGGAGGGAGACACAGGAGCACCCGCTGTGGTGGAGGGCTCTCCGCCTGCCAGCGGTACCCTGAGAGGAGCAGGGGAAACACTGGGAGGAGAAGGGCAAGTTTTTACAAAATCAGCCACTAATTTTCTGTGCCTCACATCTAAGCACTAGGTATTTTTCTGGTTTTATTGAGATATAATTAATATATAATATTATGTAAGTTTAAGGTATACTA